CTTAAATAAGAACAATAAAAGAGGTACACAAACTAAATTATGTTATGTTTTAAAGTATAAACAATAACACGACAAAAACAATAAAACTATTACTTAAGACATTTCCATATTGCTTCTTGATTGGCCTCCTCACTTGCAATATTCTTCACTTTCATCCCAGCATCAGCAGCTGTGTGATGTATCCTTAACCATCTTGTCACTGTAGAAGTAGGTTCCCATTCCTTTGGAGGTAGGCCAATTAGATAACAGTCACTGTGTTTGATATATTACAAACAGGTGTCTTCTCTTCTCTGAACATATTATATTCATCTTGGAAAAGCCCCTTTCTGCTTCTGCTGAACTTAACAGCAACTGTTCTGACAATGTTTTCTAGCTCTTTGAACACTTTCCGGGACTGCAGAAATCACTCATAATAAATATCTTGTGGGCATGGGAATGAAACACAAAGCTGAAATGAATGACAGCGTGTCACCCTCTGGTTGGTTAGCACCTTTCCTCTTTATATGTTTGCTTACTGAAGTAATGAACACAAGGGAATAAAAATATAGTATTTCTTCAGAAGTATAACTAGTTTTGTGAAATGAATACATAAATATTTACAAGCATAGTTCTACTTTTTTATACTTGTGGGTGCAGTGAACATGACTAAGGGGAGCTTACAATATGCTGTTGGGCTGATGAAAATTTTAAAAAGACTAAAGAATATAAATTTGTGATTTCCATATTGGGCAGCTATTTAGCCATCCAGCTTAAAGAGAACCCTGATTACAAGGGTCATTTTCTACCTGTTGACTGAATTCAGCACAGAATTAGGTCTGGGTTCTGCTGAACTGAAGCAAACCAGCTGAACCCCTCTCAGGTTTTCCAGGTTTTCCAGGCTGTCATCTTTACAGGGGCAGTTTGCCAGGTCTTTTCCCTGTCAGTCATTCAGGGTCAAATGTTTTAACTGTTAAGACGTCATGGTTCTAGAAATGCAAATTCAGAAAGAGAACCCTAATGCAAACTTTAGTTAATAATAACGGATCTCTGTTGGTTAATTCATTGTTACAAATGTAAGATACTACTAAGAGAAACCATACAGGAGGAAGTGGCTCAAGGGAAATGCTCTATACTTAATGCACAATTTCTCTTTAACGTCAAACTGACCTAAAATATTTTTTAAGAGGAAAAAACACCTCTTTGAAGCACTTGAATGTAATTCAACAAAGGAATGGGGGAGTTGGTAACAGGATTCACTAAGACTGCGTTACTGTTTTCTTTGTATATCATTATTCGAGATAGAAGTTTCTCTGCATACAAGCTTCAGCATACAGACCCTTGAAGAAAGCAGATGGTGCAGAATCACATTTTAATGGTAATAAGGACATGTCTAAAGGGTTCTAGTGGTGCTGTCAGGTGAGTGTTAGACTACTAACCTCAGGGTTGCCGGTTCAAATCCACTAGCAGCTTTGCCAGAGAATGATGAGGCTTTCTACCTCCTGTAAAGGGTAGCAATGAGTTCCAATTCACATGATGGCAGTGGATTTTTAGTTTAGGTTAAGGAAGACTTGCAGTCACCTTTATGAGGATGACTTTGACACTGGACTTTCACATCGTACAGTAGGAATATAATAGTGTCTGTTGTCTGGTCCTCCGCCATCCTCACACATGCTGGTATGCTTGATACAGCCTTTGTGTCAATATATCTTACCGAAGAACCTCTTCTGTTTTGCTAATCCTCTATTTCACCAAGCATGCTGTCCCTTTCCAGGGACAATCGCCTCCTGATAATGTGTGCCAAGTGGGTGAAATGAAGTTTTACCATCTTCACTTTCAAAGGGGCAATCTGGTGATAGTTCCTCCAGAACGGATTTGCTTGTTGTTCTGGAAATCCTTCATAATATTCTCTGGTGATACCGCAATTCAAATGCATCAGTTCTTCCCTAGTCTTTCTTACTCATCATCTCGTTTTCCCATGCACATGGGCCGATTCCAAATACCATGGGTTGAGTTTGATGCACTTTAGTTCTCAAAGTCACATCTTTGCCCCTTAAAATGTTAAGGTTTGTGGAATAGAGCTGCCCAATGCAATAAATTAGGCCATAAGTTAAACCAGCAATCTCCAACTAAACTAAGTCAAAGTCACTGCCATGGAGTTGAAACCAACTCATAGCAAGCCCATAGGACAATGTAGAAAAATCTATGTGGGTTTCTGAGGCTGTAAAGCTTTAGAGGAACTGAAAATCTCATCTTTCTCCAGTGGTTTTGTACTGCTGATCTTATGTTCTCAGCCCAACTTGTGATTCACTAAGCCCCCAGGGCTCTTCAGGTGGTGATAAATATTTAAATTTGTTGGTCAGATGTTTGTCATTAGAAAATAACCACATGCATACCACTGGGATGCTAATTATGATGATAATAACAAAAAGAACAGCAGCACTAGACCAGTGAGGAAAATGAAGCAGGTAACATTTCTTTCTTGAGGCCTCTTTTTAAGAAGAGTGAAAGAGATGTTGCTTACCTACCCCCTTCAAATTTGAAGAATACACTATCAATAACATTTCTTGAATCAAAATATACCAAAGCAACTTTCTTTATGTTCCCTTCTTTGATAATTCTCCCGCCTCTCAAGTTTTTCAATAACCTTATAAATTACTCCACCATATATTCATCTACATTTCTTTTTCACCTTACCTATCAATGAAACCACATCTTGTCTTCTTCTTCTACTTCGAGATTTAAACTTATTAAATCATAAGCAGCATGACCCTTCCTAGGGAGTAAGAAAACACAAGCATATAGCTGCCATACTTTCTCCACTTCCAACTTTCTCCGTATCCATCATACACGAGTTGATTCTAACTAGATGGGTAGGCCAGTATACCAGAGTGTGGCAGCCCTTCACTGCCATCTCAAACTCTCCAGGTGTTTCCAAAGATTGTTCTGATGGAAGCCTTAGTTTGTTATAACTGCACAGGCATACTGTTATTGCAATGTCTGCTTGATAATCATAAGGTTAACCTCGCTGTAGGAGCCAGTGCTGTGATAGGTGCTGGGTGCTCAATTCCCGCTCAGAACAACCCCATCCGACAGAGTAGAACTCCTTCATAGGCTTTTCTTGGCTGTGATTTTTATAGAAGCAAAACCCTAGGTCTTTTTTCTTTAAGCTTTTGGCTGAATTGAAGCAGTCAACTTTTCAGTTAGCAGTCAAATATTTACCTCTTGTGCCACCAGCACTTAGCAACATTATAAGTTGCTTGCTTGTTTTAAGACATTCTCAGGGAGGGAAGCAATTATCAAATGTACTTCAGAAAGAAAAGGAGAGAGAGAAACAAATATAATGAGTTGTATATAAGGGGGGCTTCAAAAAGTTCGTGGCAAAGGTCCATTATTTTCTCACTGACTTTTTCATGAACTGTTTTGGAAGCATTTGAAAGTACTGTGAAGCTAAGTAGGGAATCTAGGAATTACCTGCATTTTCAGGTCTGACCTCTAGGCGTGCTCTGCTCCACCCAAATATCTTTCTTTGTAGGGACCAACCCCCTCCTTCAACTTAAAAGGAGAAAGGAGTTAAGACTGGAGTTTCAGTTTAAAAAGAGAGGAAACATTTTACCAAAATACTAAAAAAGAAAAAAATGACCAAACAAGCAAATGCCTGAATATAAATGTCATGAAGTGTGTGTGCACACATATACATGCAAGGGTAAGTCAAAACATTGCCCCACAATGGGCTCCTCGCCCTCGTGGATCAGCTTTGAGGTCTTCCTGACCTTTTTAAGAATGTTGGATCCATCTGAAAACTGGTTTGGGAAGATGTCTATTTCAGTTCCATTAAACATGTGCTATTAGCTATAACCTCGAACTTGTCCTGTTCTCTGACAGAAAATGTACCCTTTCATTTTGAAGACAGCTTTGTGAGAAAAAGACAAAAGTTTTCCTGGCAGAACTTGTCTGCACCTATCCCCTAACTGCCGAGATTCCTTTCAGCATGTTTAGTTTGGAATCAGCCTATGCACGCATGAACCTTAACTGTTAAGACGTCATGGTTCTAGAAATGCA